TAGTATACTAAGAGTCTAGATTAGGACGTTAATATCCTTACTAACTCGAAGGTAAGTAGTAAAATCTAACTTAATATTTAGTTCTTTACTAACTATATAACCTTATACTCTCGATAAATAACTACCTTTCTACTACTCTATCTATAGAACGATTAGAAGTTCTATAAGGACGAGCTTTTAAGCTCTATATTACTCTATCTTCTTTTTTAACTAAACTACTCTCTAAACCGCCTATTATTACTAGACTACTTAAGTTATCGACTATAGAGTTAAAGACTAGTACTTTAAGTAGTAATTTCTTATATCTACTTTACTTTACTTCCCTTTACTATAGCTATAATAAATAACTCGTACTACGAATTTCTATTCTTCTTTTCTTAACTCTCCTTATTCTCTTCCTTATCTACCTTCTCTAGATAATCTATCTCTACTATCTTACTTACGGCTACTATTACGACTCTTAAGCTTCGCCGCCAACTATTAACTATAGCTAGGCCTTTCTATTATAACGAATTATATAGATTTATTAACTCGACGTCTATATCTCCTAGCTATAGAAGTTTTTATACTAACTTAATAGTAAATTTAATATTTAAAGTTACCTCGCTTACTCCTCAATAGAAAAGATCTATTTATACTAAATTAAGACTTACTTATAATAATAATATTAATACTAAAGTTTCTATACTAGCGACTAAGGTCGAGACTTAGTAAGTTAAAGAAGCTACGAATACCGTCTCTTTCTATATCGTTACTCCTTCTAAGTAGTTCTTTTAATATATAAACTATAGCGACGAAACTCCTACTATTATAACTAGTACCTTTCTAGTTAAGATCTTTAGTTCTAATAATATAGAGCTCTACGCTAGAGATCGAGTATTTATAACCTTCGTTATAGATCTCTTTAGTAGTTATCTACGAATTTAAATTAGTATTCCTAATAATTATCGTAGATTTAAAGGTAAATTTATTAAGAAAGCTATAATTTCTTAGTCCTTTATAGCGTTTAGTTAAAATAGTAGTATACTAAAGTTAATTAATAGCGATAAATACTATATCTATATATAAGAGAAAGGACGCGACTACTATACTTTAATCTTACCTTACTACTAGGGTTTATATACTACTATAAATCTACTCGTTAATATACTATCTAATTATCTTTCTATACTCTTAATCTACTTTAAGACTATAGATAAAGGTAGGACTATTAAATACTATATCTATAAATTTAGTAAGGTTAGAGATATTATTCGTAGCGTTATAGACCTAGAATAATCGTTTTAGAATAAGTCTTAAGTATATTCTCTTAGTAAGTAGATCTATCTAGGTAAAAGATTCTTTATTATCTAATATAACGAGTTTATTCTACTAGAAGATCGTCTAGTACTAGTTTTTCGAGTCCTAGCTAAGACTTCCTTTATTAGCGTCTAAGAGTATATAGTTATATAGATCCTTATCGACTTAGAAGAGGCTAAATATACTCGTAACTTAATATAACTATATAAAGCGAATATATATCTATTATATCTTATACGTCTCGTTAGAAGTAGAAATTATATCTATCTAGGATTAATTTCGTTAAATACTAGAAGCTATTCTCGTCTTTCTCCTAATAATCGAATTAAAGTTATAGATACCGAAAATAAGAATCTTAATAATATATTAAGCGTAATAGTTACGACCGATATACCTAGTATTCTTCTTACCTTCCTCGCTATCTACCTTACTATAAAGTAGAATAAAGAATTATAAAGCTTTAACTATAGACTACTAGACTTTAATCTTAATAATACTCTTTTACCTTAAGAGGAACTTTCTCTTAACGTCGAAGCGATTAATACTATTACTCTACTCTCGGTTAAGCTTTAGATTATCTAGAGTAATCGTTCTTATCGATATTAAGTTATAGGAATAGTAGTACTCTATAAAGAACTTAGTTTCGCTTCTATTAATAGCTACGCGTTTACTCTTAATTAGCTACTATTAGAAAATAATATAGTCGTTATTCTAAAGTACGATATTTTCGCTCCTATCTAGGTAGATATATTTACTTAGGATTATATAGGTAGTTTAAATAATAATTAACGTTAAGTATTCGAACTAGCTTATTGTTACGAACCAGGTCACTTGAAAGGTTGCCAAGGGAATCAAGGCACCTACCCAGGGGGGAAGTTAGCCGATGGAGAACGAGGCTAAGTTACGTAACCAGGGAAGGCTGGATCTCCTGGATCCCTTGGATCCCGTGGGATCTCAAGAGATCCAGGGAGAGCCACGAGATCCAAGAGAGCCACTAGCACTATATATACACGCTCGCTACCCATATTAAGACAGATTGTAGTTAACTTCGTTAGTAATCCTATACCTACGTTTAGGATACAGTCCGACGAATAAGTATTCCCTTTGTTATCTTGGTTAACACTCTGGTACCCACTCTATCAAGGAACCCTACCTTGGTCAGAACTGCTTGCAGCTCGGATCATAACATCTATCAAGGAACCCTACCTTGGTTAGAACTGCTTGTAGCTCGGATCATAATAGTACGGTCCGATTCGTAATATACGAGTAATCGCTCTAGGGCGTACTCTAGAGCTTTATACGGGTTTAACCCGTAATATAACCGTCGGCTATAATGTCTCGTTATATTCAAAGGAAAAGCGCTCTAAACGACCTAGTTTACCGACCCTAATACTCCTAACTACTCCTATACGGTTTCACCTAATAGATAGACCTTAAATAATATTAGATTAGCCTAGCTACGTTAAATATTTATCCTATAAACGGTAACGAACGACTATCGACTACTTCTACTCGATAGATATAAAAGTTATACGACGTACGAGTTTATATAGGAATATTATATAAATCGAATTACTCTAGTCTATTTAATACCTTATTTAAGTTATATTCTATAGCTAGTTAATCTTACTTACTTTTCGCTCCTTAAATGTCGATATCGAGACGAAATCGCTAACCTAGCTAGGTACGACGACGCCTCGGCCGTAAAGAAGAGTAAGTTTCTTAAAATCTATAAAAAAGTAAGTAATGAGGGCCTTTTATTATTCCGTATCCGCGCGGGATAGAATGCGGCTATTATCTATCTATAGGACCCTAATAAAGTCATTCGATCTCATTAAGTTCTATAAAACCTTCAAAATAAGTAAATACTACTAACTACGCCTCCGTCACGCAAGCAAGCTTAGTGCGTATCGCATAATATTTATACGCTACTTACTCGACAGTAAGTACGACGAGAAATAGACTCGATTTCAGCCCAGGAGACACTTTCTCGTCTAGTGCGTCGACTACTTCAAAAAACGAGCAAGGCATTTAATCGACTACAATAGAATATTGCCCTAAAATCGCAGGAACTCACTATTCAGCGTACCCAACTAAATAAGCTAACTACTATAAGGTAACGGCGAGTCGCAATCGACTGTAATAAGGTCTTTGCGAGTATCGAGATGATTAGGCAGGCTAGGCAGGGTATGGAGGCTTTAGAGGCGACAGCGAGGTCCACCACGCAGGTAAATACTAGGAATCCTACGCGGAATAGATAGTTAAATAATACACTCACACCATTCATACATTAGTTTAGTGTCAATGACTCTATAGAATAGATAATTCATAAAATGGCGGTTGGGGTGGCAATATCGAGGCGTGTCACATTACACGGGTGTCTCATTACATGGGTGGCCGACTTTTCTGGGTCTTTCGGCTCCATCAGTGTCAAAAAGCCTCTTATTATCGCCACCCTTGCACATATCTATGCGGCAGACATAGCACTGGTCTTCAGATTTCCGGCAATCGACATGATAACATTTATCCCTATAATGCTGAGAGGAATCAGAGCAACCGGGATCTCGTTCGAAAACATCACCATTCCGGTGTATGATGGTTGTGGTTCGAAACATTCTACGGCAGAATTGATGACATTTCCGCTCAATGTACTGGGTTTCTATATGCAATGGGCGAACAGCACCATGCTTGGCAAATAGAGCCTCGGGGTTTCGTCAAAGTTCCAAAATTATGGCCACAATAACTTCGAGTATCTGTAAAGGTGAAGCCGCAGTTGAAAAACGCCGGTAATCGAACACCAGCCGAATACAAGCTGACCGGAGAGCAGTCATCGCGTGCTATCATTGCGGCTTAAATATGAGTATGCGTTCTCGGCCAAACCCCGCGTTTGTCTTGGGTCGCCCCAATATTTTTTGGGTCTTGCCCGACGCTCACGATCCATATATTGCGCATCTTTCTGTAGATGGAACCTACAGTCCGAGGCTGCCGTGGGGTATCCAGGGGGTAAATATGCATCTCTGAAGGATGGCCGGAATCAAATATCGGCCATTCGGCGTGGTCGGTGTGAAGAGGAAACGATTCCTGCATGTCCCACCAGCTATCGCATTTCTCCGCGTAGAACAAAAATGCGCCGAGTCGAATCGACAACGCAGACCTTCAAGTTGAAGAATGTTTGGAGCTATGGTTCTCGCGAGTGTCTAGGCTCACAATAGTCTCTCGTCGAGACAATTCCAGTTCAGGTTCTGGACATTAGCTCTCAGATCCGAGGCCCTTGCGTGGGATTTGCTCATGTTACTGATGTGTCATGCTAACTGGCTCATTTATTTGCTGGAAGAGCTACCCAACATTAACCTTTGAGGGGCGCCGAGACGCCTTTCGGCACCCACACGAATATGCTTCGCACCCCTCATTACTTGGCCATGCCCTAGCATCCAAATGCCGCGAAAGGGGTCTAGCGCTCGCTTCAGATCTTCTATACCCCGGATCTGGGTATTGTCCTAAAGATGGATCGTGGGGTTCTGTCCGGCCAAGTGCTCACATCCCATCAAGTCTTCCACGTCTATGGAGGTTTACCGCTGCTATAAAACTATCGTTGCGCCGTGCTGCGAGATGACCAAGCGGAGGACATTGTTGCCCGCCTCTAATCTGACGAAACTAGCTTTTGAGCAACGCGCGGCTTTTCTTTGATTCGTCTTGAAATGATGGAACCAAAAGGCCCCGAAGAGGCACAACAGGAACGTGTCGTTGAGCTCCGCGACTTCAAGGATCAAGAAGGCTATGTTGTCGATGCAGCAGACCAGGAGCACGTGAACCTCAAGACGGCACCGGATGGACATACAATACTCCTACCTCAGCCTTCTTCTGATGTGAACGATCCTCTCAACTGGAGCAAGTTCAAGAAACACCTAGTCCTTATCATAATATCCATGACAGCATTTCTTCCCGACTATGGCAGCGGCGCAGGAGTCGTGACCATCTTGCCACAGGCTGCTATCTGGAATATGTCCCCGGACACGGTAAATCACGCCACGTCGGGAAACGTGTTTATGCTCGGTGCTGCTGGACCTATAATTGTTGCTCTGGCTGCCTACTTTGGTCGCCTTCCGGTGCTCTTCTACTTTGTTGTCCTAGCCACAGCCACTGCCATATGGTGTGCTGCAGCTCAATCCTTTGAATCGTTTATGGCCGCGCGGATACTGAACGGCTTCTTCAGCACGGTTTCTCAGGCGGGCGGCCTTATGTTCATCTACGATACCTTCTTTTTCCACGAAAGAGCAAGGAAGATTAACATATGGTCCGCATTCATTATCCTGTCCCCCTACTGGGGACCGTTCTTTTCGGCATTTATTATTACTACTCAACCATGGCAAGTTGCCTTCTGGGTCTACGTTGCAATGGTATGTGGGTCTACACGGCGTTGGATAAAATTCTGTACTAATAATACATCTGTGTTAGACTGGCCTCTGCCTAACCCTGATCATCCTATTTGTTGACGAGACGTACTACGACCGTCGCATTACGCCTTCCGAACAACCTCCTCGAAATACTCGCATTTCCCGCCTCTTGGGCATCTCGCAATTCAAATCACGCCATCTCAGAAATAGCCTTGGTCAAGCTCTGATGAGGCCTCTGAAAGTCATTCTGAAGCCCACCGTTTTTATTTCAACCCTTTACTACCTGCTGACATTCGCGTGGGCGGTAGGCGTCAATACCTCGCTCTCAATCTTCCTGACAACTTCATACGGGTTCGGTCCTCTACAGATCGGTTACTTCTATTTTACGCCTCTCGTGGCGGCATTATTGGGAGAGGTAACTGGCCACTGGCTACACGACTCTATCTTCAAGCAATATATCCGGTCTCACGACGGACATTTTGAGCCCGAAGTCCGGCTACGTGCCATATGGGTTTCAACTCCGTTCACTATAGCGGGTCTAGTAGGATTGGGTTTTGCGCTCGAAAACACCTACCATTATATGGTGGCCGCTGTCTTCTGGGGTCTATACGTCTACGGCGTCATGATCAGCACCGTCGCGGTCAATGCGTACAATCTTGACTGCTACCCTGAGGCGGCCGGAGAGACAGCAGCTTGGGTCAACTTTGGCCGAACGGCCGGCGGATTCATCATCTCCTATCTTCAAATCACGTGGGCCAATGCACAAGGCACGAAGACCACATTTGGTATCCAGACCGCGATTTCGGTGTTCGCTTTTCTGTTGGTGATACTCCTCCAGTACATCGGGAAATCACTGAGGATCTGGAGTGGACCTCTGAAGTTTGTCACTTCTTGAACTACTACCGGCAACGACTTTGGGCCAGATTACATCTAGTGTTCGAAGATGGCAACTATGGGAGGATTGTACTTTATCGTCGTCAGGTAGTTTGTCTCTAGTAGCAGTGGCCATGAACAGCAAATTGGACTATCTCAACAAATTCAATGACCCAAAGAGCTCCACAACTCAGGGCGAGATGTCAAGGTGTTGAGTCAGCAATCACGTTTTAAGCATTTCCGAGTGCGAGCCCGTCTGAATGTCTGATTGATACCACAGGAGCGCTCTCTAGCTTTTTCACGGTTTGTTTCCCAGAGTGTGTAGTTATCGTTATTCCGAGTCACTACTGTGTCCAACAGAACACTTTCAACAGAAAAGCAATTCTAGCATTGCAGCTGTTCACATGGAGATTACTTTTCCTTCCTCTAATATAAGTGGCACATCAGGCCTTTTGGCACGGGAAACCAATAATTAGACACCTTCAGATCCTTTTTCGGTCCGGCAAGCACGACATCAAACTCCCCGAAGAACTGGGGAATCAGTTTGGAAAGCTCTGTCCACAAATTAGTATTCAATGCGAGGTCATTCTACCATGTCGGCCTTACCATCAGTGAAATGTTTCTCCCGATACAAACTGGACTGCAGGCGCCGAAGACAAGAGAAGTTCGTTCCATTGCTTTTCAGAGTCTCAGAATCTGCCTCCAGCCACCTCTCCGGTCGAAAACAACGGGTGTCTATCCCATAGACTGGCACACCTCTACCAACTATCCATGGGTTGATGCCAACCACCGTGCCTGCCGGGATATATCTGCCGCAAATTGTTGCACCTTCCTTTGGCACATGTCTATCCATGATAATTCCAACGCTGGGATGCACGCGGAGACCTTCTTTGATTACAGATTGGAGATACGGCATATGTCGGGTTTCTATTTCAGAGACTGGATAGGATAGCTTGTCTTTTGTATCATGCTCGTCAATCTCTTTCTGTAATTTGGCATATGCCACGGGATTCGTGCATAGGCCATGAATGATCGACCGAAATGCAATGACTGTTGTATCCCTTCCGCAAGGACGTCGGAGCTGGTGTGATTCACGACGTCGGAGGCGCCAAAGGGCCCCCCTTGAAGCCCGCCACGGGAGCCCGACTTTGCCACTTTTCGAAAACGAGTCAGGCAGTCGTCGTGGCCTACCTCAGCCGTATCAAATTCTTGGTCCTGGACGTCCTTCAGTGCCTTTCCTGCAAACATGACAGCTGGGTTGAATTTCTCAATGTCTGGTAACAAGACCAGGAGTAAAGGCAACCAAGCAATCTGACTGATGGTGGATGCGTATGCCATGAAGCCCGAAATGGCGGCGGTCGTGTTGTCGACATCGCGTTGCTCCTCCAAAAACCCGAAAGTGCGGGAGAGTGTGAGGTTTCTGATGACATCGAATGCATACCACCTGGTAGAGAAATTGATGAACCTTGCCAAAAAGACTGCCAGAATCAAATGCTAACATACTGGAGCCATTTACCCAAGTCTACTACATGGCCCGTTTCCGCAAACCGCTCTCTGAGGATCCGTATGAACAACCTCGAAACATGGTCGATTTTGAATTCCAAATGCGATAAGGTTGCCATGCTGTATGTGTGAACCACCGAACGATTATCTCTGCTGTGGTACTCCTCGCCACGCGTGGCGAAAAGATTCATGACTGGCTTTCCTTCGTACTGAGCCGCTATGATAGGGTAGAATGCCGTTTTGTGAGGTCCATTGCCAGCGTCAGAGATGGTCTTGATCTCCGCAGTATCTGCCAGGAGAGGTGCTTGGGACCTATCCGAACGAGTGGTCCATGCTTCGTGTGAAGTGCCAGCGCTGGACGATAGAAGTGTCAATGTGGTGAACAGCCACATCGCCATTTAGCAGCGTACTGGTTTCATCTGAGCTGCACAGCATCACGTCCCAGAATTTCCAAAGCCCCGTAAAGCCTGCTAATGGAGGGCCTGGGATTGCATACAAGTGCCTTCGGAACTTTGTCGCCAGTGCATTGCTGATAATGAGCACTGCAACGCAGCCACGTAGGAATCGCCCTGACGGAGATTCTCTGAGCTAATTCTCAAGAGTAGTCATCACTCTTTGTAAGAATGCTGCCATCTTGCGACAAGATCCTTTCACCGACCGTGACAGAGTCCTTGGCCATATGGCTCAGTTCGCCGACAGTTCTACATACCCCTACCCTGGCTCGGCGTCTTTGAGGGCAATGACACAAAACACATGACCAGAGTGTAAGTTAATTATGAAATTGGAAAGACCAATAGGAATGTGTGGGGTTCGCTCAATGTGTGACTGCGTGATTGCTGGGGTTGGGACCGGAATGTGTGGGGTTTGTATTTTTGGGTTCGATATCAAGATTTGATAGTCGCAGCTATTGAGTTGGTCCTCAACCCTCAATTTCCCACTTTGTGATTTGTGTAGAGTTTCGGTCCCAGCGAGAGGCCAATTCAATGTGACAGTCACCTGCGCCTCCCGCATCTGGACCAACTTGGCAATTTCCATTCCCTTTGACCGTTGCTATTGAAATAGACCTAGGTGTGGTCATCCATAACTCCCATCCAGTGCAGAGTAGTCAGAATGCTGTCGCCCCTGTTGTGGGGGCTGTTGTTTTTTGCAGCGATAGCACTGTGTCTCTACTGTGGACGAAGGAAACGAGATGGAAGGACTATTCCGGGGCCACCAGGTAAGGTGTGATCTATCGTGTCTCTTGACCTTCTCTGACGTGGTGAAAGGCCTCCCTATCGTGGGCAATCTTCTCCAAATCCCTCCAGTCCACTCTTGGATCAAATTCAAAGAATGGAGTGACGTGTACGGACCTGTTTTCCAGCTAAACATCGCCGGCAGACAGCATGTTGTCCTGTCCACCGAGAAAATTGCCAATGACCTTCTGCGAGAAAGAGGATCCCTCTATTCCTCCAGAGAATATCTAACGTTTGCGTCGGGTTTACTCTCGAACAATCTACGACCGTTGTTTCTGCCGTACAATGGTGAGAGGATTGTCAGACTGGAGGTTGTGCTGTGCTGATTTCCTTGCTGGCAGACCTCTGGCGAAGAGGCCGCAAACTGATGCATCAGTTGACGATGCTGGCGGCTGCTGACTCATATCAGCCAGTGCAAGAGTACGAGTCGCTCAAGTTATTAGCAGCACTACTTCGAGAGCCGAGCAAGTATGAGCTGTGGTTCGAGCAGTACGCCTCTGGAGTTGTATTCCGGATTGGATTCGGACACTGGATTGAGACCGGCCAGGAAGAGGAATTTCTCAGGATTATAGCGGTCGGTAAGAACGTGGAACGAGTGGCGTCTCCGGGAGTATACCTTGTTGACTCTCTCCCACTCTTGCAACATATGCCCACTTTTTTGGCTCCTTTCAAGCAAGAAGCTCGCAAGCTGCGTGCCGAAGAATTGAGCTTGTTCCGGAAACTGCTGTATGATGTCCGTCAGTCGATGACCAGAGGAGGATCGACCCCTGCATCTTTTATGAAAACATTTTTGGAAAATCAAGAGACGTTCAAACTGTCGGACGACGAAGGGGCGTACGTGATAGGCACACTCTTTGAAGCCGGGAGTGGCACCACTGCGGCTGCAATGATGTCGTTTTGTCTGGCCATGTGTCTCTTTCCCGCGTGGCAGCAGAAGATCCAAGACGAAGTGGACGGCGCCACGGGGGCTCGAATGCCTGGGTTTGAAGACGTCCCTCAACTCCCCACTGTCCGTGCCGTTATCAAGGAGGTCCTTCGCTGGCGGCCAGTGACCGCCGGCGGCGTGCCACATCAATTAATCAAAGATGACGAGTACGAAGGCTATCATTTCGCCGCTGGAACAGTCTTTCACGCCAACCAATGGGCAATTCATCGAGATCCAGAGTTGTACCCGGATGCCGATACTTTTCGACCGGAACGTTGGCTTGATCCCAAGTTTCCCCAGACCTACCGAGAGCCTTTAAGCAAGTATCCAAATCTACAAAATTATTCGTGCTTTGGCTTTGGTCGGCGCATCTGTCCCGGCCAAAGCATCGCCGAACGTTCACTTATCCTGCTCACTGCACGCATCGCCTGGGCCTTGGATCTGCAGAGGAAGACTGACGCTGCGGGCGCCTTGTTGCCCCTTCTGGACTACGACTACACCGCTGGTTTTAACGTTCAGCCTCGACACTTTGACTTTGACATCTTCCCTCGATCAGCTGAGAAAGTTAGAATGATTCATGCTGCGCTCCGGATGGCTAAGGAGGAATGTATTGACTCGGGCTCGAACAAACACTAAGAGATTGCATGGGGGTGTATCGCTGGGGGCTCATATGTCCGATTGTCGATGTACTCGGATAGATGGATAGATCTGTAATGATGTTCTCGTAACAAATGGTCGGAATGGATTTTGCTACCAGTATAGACTGAAGGCTGTTCTATGCGAGCTTCAGAAAATGTGAGGAAATTCCTAACGGGAGCAGAATGGGGCTTTAAACTTTCGGTGGTGTTACGCCCCTCGGCGAGTCTGGAATTGAAGCCCCACTGGGGTTTGACGAAACCCCGTATTTCGTCTACGAGTAGCCCCCCAAATTTCCTTCCCAACTCCGCATCCACTTTTACTTCTTCTACCCTTCTCTATAGCGATACCTTTCAACTGATTTGCGACGCTCGCTTGAAGAACGATCAGGAAGCGTGTTCTAGGCTCTCTTCTTGCCATGGCTGATGCTACAGAGCCCTGGGGTGCAAGCATCGACTACGATCCGTCATATCTTGAAACAGAATCGAGCCTGGAGTGCCATCGCTGCCCTGAACCCAATTGCAACAGGGTGTTCCGTCGAAAATATCATCTAAGTCGACACCAGGAATCTTATCATGACCAAATCCGTCCATTTGATTGCTCTTTCTGCGGGCGCACCTTTGCACGCAAGTTAGTCTCAACCCCTTTGGCACCTATGGGAAAGTGTAGCAGCGGACACTCACTAATACATACTTCTGAAGGGACGCGTTATTTCGCCACGGGCGCCTGCATCGCCACCCACTCCAGGGCCCAATATCCAGGAAAAAGAGAGTAGATGTGGCATGCCTGCGATGCCGTGCCAATAAGACTCGCTGCGATGGAAAATTACCCTGTCGTTCTTGCGCTCAGGCTCATTCTGAATGCGTACGGCCACCATTGGCGCAGCACATTTCCTCTCAGCCGCGTTCTATTGACCATGACGATGATCGACGAGGCCGTGAGCACGACTTACCCACTGGCCCAAGCCCATCAGAGCGCCGGTTTCTGCGCTCTGGCCGCGACTCCTTCCCTGTCAGTGTACCCACCCTATCAGGGTCGTGGCGTAGTGCTGAAATTCCGACTCCTCGACGAAAATCGAGACATCTTGCCGTTAACGAACCTTCCCACATTGATCGGGACGACAGGCCAGCTGGCCGAGTTCTGCCCCGTCCGACGGTCGGGCCGATCGAGCAAGAGATACCTCTCCAACATGAACAGGAATTAGCCCCAGACTCTGCTCTGTCATCGCCGAGCAGCATACCGCCTCTGACTGCTGATCTCGACGCAGAAGCCCTGGGATGGTATTCTCATGGGACTGCTGAAGGACTCACGGAAAGTGATGATCTCAGTCCGACTGCTACGCACTACGACAACGTTTGGCAGAGTCGACAAAGCCCTGGACCTACTGCTCCAATGCAGAGCTTGATGTATCATAGTATCCCAATGACCACGGTGGAAGCCTTTGGAGAAGAGAATTCCGATCCTTCGGAGACTCTGCTTCTACGGTCACTAACTGAGGAGTCTTGGGCCGCGCTGCTCCAAATTGACAGCAATGTCGTTAGTGCTATTCTGCAAAGCTCAAATATCGACCTATACTTTGAGCATTTTCACGAACGCTGGCCGCTGCTGCATAGACCGTCATTCTCTTTTGAGAAGACTCCGCCAGGTCTCTTGTGCTCTATGGCCTTGTTGGGCTGCGTCCTCAAAGGGGATGCCTCATCTTCGACACATCTTTTCACATTGCATCTACGACGCTGGGAGGACCTGATGACAAGGCTCACACTGGTATACACTCTCCGTTGAGCACAACTCATACCATCTCTCATACTGACTGGCTCTCTTCGCAGTCATGTAATCTGAAATTCTCCCCCTCCAATACAACACTGTACCAAGAGGCTGTCCTCAATATTCTTGCCGCGCTGTACATCGGGGTATGTGTTCATATCTCCGTACAGAACCTGATATTAATGATGATCTCGGTGAACAGGATTTTTCAACCCTCGAAAATGCTTACGCGATCTTGAACCAGGTGGTTTGTGCAGTTCGGCTAAGCGGGTTTTTGTCCTTGGCCAATATTCTTGCACAAGAATCTCCGACGTCAGAAAGGCAGACTTGGATTGATCGAGGATACACCACCAATCTTGTCTTCGCCGTCTTTCGACTCGGATCTCACTTGAGTTGTGTGCTCAATCTACCACCCCTACTAAGATTTGAAGAATTTGATCTTCCGTTCCCGCCTACAAATGCCGCCTGGAATGCTTCAGACGAGGACTGGAAACGTACCTTGGACGACGATCCTCCACACAGAACGCATGGAGCCTTCAACTACCTTACCATCTTGGCTCTATCTCGGCTCAGCCCAGTAGACCGTCTTAAGTTACCGGGCTACTATACCCAACAAGACTTTGAACTTGGCCTCTGCACGATGCAGTCCCGACTGTGGGAAGAAACGCAATGTCAGCGACTTAGCCATGAGCTTGCTATGGGTCAATCACATCTTGAATTGGACGAGCCAAGGGATAAACCCGCCCCTTTTCATGGTGGATTCGGTCAAAGTTGGCCTGTTTTGCTCGGAATTTGGCGCGTTACTATGGAGCAGTTCAGGCGGTCACCGTCCCGATACTCCGGTGTTGAATCTGAGAAAGAAGCCTACTTTACGGGCATCACACTGTACCATGCCTCGTTGATTCGCGCTCATTCGGACTATTCTCTCATTCGACGCCTGGCATTCGCGCTTTGCGAAGGGTCCACGCCGTCGAATTATATCCGTCAATGGGAACTGAATATCCAGGATTGGACTCGGTCACACGAAATCAGGGAGGCTCTGTGGCATGCTGCACAGATTGTACGGTGCTTTGCTGATGAAACACAGACCCCTGACAAAAGGGTGGGTCAAGACTGCATTGTCACCTGCGTTGCCACTGACTGCTTGTTTCGTGCTGGGCTGGTCATCTGGGTACATGTGCGGTCAACAATGGCCTGCGACTTGTGTGGCCCAACGGCTGCAATGCCAGAAGATCTCCATCAGCGGTACTGCTCAAACCGCGACCGGGAAGCCGTTGAGCTGACGACGCTTGATCAAAGCTCGAGAAGATACGAGAATTGGTTAAGAAGGCGCGGCAGGTCGTGCGTCGAAGGTGTGCTGGTTTGCGCCTGCAGAATGCCGATCTTGCTGAAAAGATGCTGCGAATTGTTGCGGGAGACTACGCGAAACTCAAACCTACTGAAGAGATACTTGGACATATTCGAGACCCTCATGAAGCACCGATAGAGAGAAAGATGTCGCGATCCTCGAATGAGTTAGGTGAGCTATGTATGCCGCCACGCTCCGCGTGCACTTTATGATCTATCCCCAGAATCTGTCATGGTATTCTCCTCACACCTTTTCCCGTCTACTCACATAGGCTTCAAGGCATTGCTGGACGATGAAGAATGTGCTGTGGTATGTCAGAGGTCTCCGTGGATGTACAAGCTTGATATCGAATGCCCTCAGGATCTGAATCAGCGCTTTTTTCATCTCAAACAATGCGAGGATTCGCCCAATACAGAGATGGCTGCCTCCGCCGAACTGCTCGTTCAAATTAGATATTGTCAGTGATTGGTTTACATCCTCAGTTTGAACCTTGAACCTCCAACAAGACATACGAACTTACCTGATACATGTGGCTATTCATGAATTTGGCACCACGTTCGATCCACCTTTCGGGACGATAGTCGTCAACATCCTCTCCGAACACACTCTAGTATGGGATGCAGACGGGAAAAGCTATATTGACTTCGAACTGGGTCAGGTGTGCGCATCTACGGGCCACTGCCACCGTGCCTACACGAAGGCGATCGTTGACTAGACATCGAAACTTGAGCAGACGGACTCGGGCTACACAGGCCCTTCCCGAATCCTACTGGCGCAGAAGCTGGCGGAGACAATGCTGGGAGAACTGAGCCGCTCGTATTTTGCCTGTACAGGCTCAGAAGCAACGGAGGCTGCGCTTCGACTCGCGACGATCAATACTGGACGCACCGAGATTGTGGGGTTAATGCGCGGCTACCATGGAATGATGCATGGGAGTTTGTCGGTTACGGGTCTAAGTGGCAAATTCAAAAGCGTCCCAGGTAGCGGCCTCCCGGACGTTGCCTACATCCTATCACCATACGCTTATCGCAGCCCGTTCAAGGACGATGAGGACAAGATGGCAAGCTTCCGACAGGGGCTGCAGATCATCAACTGACCACGACAGGCAAGCCTGCGGCCATCTTTCTGGAAGTCGTCATGAGTGTGGGCGGCATGATCGTGCCATCGAAGAAATATGTTCAGGCGCTGCGGGAGTGGTGTAAACAGACAGGCACCCTGATGATTATAGACGAGGCACAATCAGGTATCGGTCGCACGGGGAAACGGTTCGCCATAAAACACATCGATGTTGGTTCCAGATATCATTATGACGTCTAAAAGCCTTGGTGGCGGACTGCCGCGTTCCGCTGTCACGACGACGCCCGAGATTGTAGATCGGGCCGCGGAACTGGGATACCACTAGTCCTCTTCGCATACTAATGACCCATTTCTAGCCGCAGTTGGACTTGCTAATATCGAGATCATAGAGTGTGAGGGTCTGGTGCAGAACGCGGGCAAGATAGGGCGGTATCTGAAAGATGCATTCGAGAAGATAAAGGTGAAGCACGAAGGTTTTGGCGATGTCCGAGGCCTAGGGTTGATGATCGGTCTCGAAATCGTGGTCGATAAGGTCAGTAAAGGCCCGTCGTCAGAGCATGCGAGTGCTATCAGCCAGTACTGCCGTGATCACGGGTTACTGCTTGAAAAAGACTAACAGGTGCAGTTAGTGGCAACAATATCCCCATTCTACTGCTGTTGATCGTGACTCGGCAGGACGTCGACGAGGCGTTGTCGACATTCAGCGATGCTCTCATCTATGCTCAGAGGACCGCGAAGCCTAAAGCAAAGAGCGGAACCGCTTAGATGTAAGCGTAGACTAAATTACAGGTGCCTTTAGGTTTATAGGTAATATACTCACGCTTTATATATCGAGGACGTCTTAGGAGATATATAATTATTTAAGGGCTCTCTTCGTCGTGCTTTAGCTATCTCAGCTTTATCTCCTCTACTAATTCTATGTAAAACCGCCCTTTACCTTATTACTACCTCTAGAGCTTATAGAGAAGGCTTCTATTATTACTTACTTAGATATAAGTAAGGCTAGCGCGGCCGAATTTCTAGTTAAGTAAAATAACTAGTACCTAGAACTACCTAGGCTTATAATATTAGGTATTACGGACTAGGTTATAGATAAGGTCGCCGGGATAGACGCCCCGCGTTCTATAGGATAGTTAATAGAATATTAGCCGATAGAGAACGAGGCTATTATTACGAGTTAAATCCGTATAAAGCTCTAGAGTACGCCCTAGAGCGATTACTCGTAGTATACCTTTAGGCTATATAACTATATAGCCGAAGCTACGTAACTCCTTTCTATCGATTATCTCCTAGGAAACTATACTAATCTACTATAGGAGAGGATAGGAAGTATTTTCTTTATTCGTATAGTAGATAGATTTTCTCTTTTCTTTTCTCTCCTTAGCTTTAGAATCCTCGTTATACAATAGTTAGACGAATTATTCTAAATTTCTAGCTAAACTACTATATTATTCTAAAGCTTCCTATTATACGTAGCGAAAGAGTACCGCGTACGAAATAAATAACGATTAGGAACTAACGGAAACCGCTCTAGCGTAGGCGGTAGAGCTATACTAGTTCTTATAGGCTTAAAACTAAAGAATAATAGTACTCGAGGATTAACTCGACTAATAGAATAGAGTACGAGCTCGTACGTCTAAAGTAACGACTTCTACGACGGTAAGCGCTATATAGAAATTCGACTCTATACGACGAAAGGCTAAGCTCTCCGAGCTAGCTAAATTTAATAGAAAAAGATTAGAGTTTCGGCCGTAGCTTATCTAAGCTCGAGCTAAGTTAACGGTTAATAAGTAAAAAGAAATCGAAGCTATACGATTTTAGTATCTCTATAGTAGACTAAGGAGCTACACCCTTACCTAGGTTAGTTCGTAAGTTAATTTCGTATAATTAATCCTCGAAATAAATACGAAAGGACTTATTAGTTAATTAAAGGCGGTATACGAGGACGTCGACGTCGTAAAGAAAGTATTACGAAAGCTTTCTTAGCTAAAGGTAAATAGAAAGTCCTTTAGCGTATTTCTCGTCGAGTTTAATCGTACGCTACTCGAGATCGACGAACTAAACTAGGCCGACTCGGTAAAGAAGACGTTTATATTAAACTACCTTTCGTACGACCTAAAGAGCGTCCTCGTTATAACGCTAATTCTATTAACTTATAGGAAGTACTATATTCTCTTCTATACGATTAGTATAAACCTAGAGGCTCTTCGATAGAAGAAAGCTAGAGAGAAGATATCTAGAAGTAATCTATTCGATACTACTAGTCGTATAAAAGATAAAATAGATTAAACGCCGATAGTATAAGCTATAGCGTCCTTAGCGGGACTATAGAGAGCTTTATAGGTATCGTAAACGATACTTAACTAGAGAAGGAAGCTTAGAGCGTATCTTCGCTACGACTAATAGAGTTACTTTATTATTAAATATCTTCTCCTTCTTATCGTACGACCTAAGACGAAGAGAAGAATAGTAGTACTAAAAACTATAAACGATAATAAGGAATTATTAAAAGAGTAGCTTCTACTAGAAGTCGCCGGTAGGAGCGTATAAAGAAGACGAAGAAGGAATAGAAGGCTTTTTAGTTCTTAATAGACGACTAACTCTTTATAGTTTTATTACTTTTAAATAAGTAATATTATATATCGGCTCTAATTAATTCTAGTTATTTATTATACGATTTAATTAACTTTCGCTTCGCTTCTCGCTATTCTTTCGAGCGTATTTCTATTATTTCTCGTTCGATTTCCGGATTCGACTCCTTCGTATAATCTAAAATCTCCGAAGTAGCGAAGATTAAAGTCGATATCGATAGCTATAAGAAAATAGCGTTCTTCTATATTATTCCGAATTTAGCGTACGAAATTATTCTTAAGCTACTCTAGATAAAGAAGAACGGTATATATCTTAATATCGCGAACGACTTTCTCTTAATAGGATATTTCGATCTAGAAGTCTATAATATACTATAGAAACTTCGTACGCCCTTAGACTATAACTAAGTCTTCGTTATAGTATTCGGTCTACTAGCTTAAAAAAGTAAAAAGCGTACGAAAATCTAAGTATTCTCGGCGACGATAGCGAATATTAAAAAAGTACTTAGAGTAAAGATATCTACTAATCCGCGTACGAAGCTTCCTTAATAGTACTACTATTTCTTAGATATCTTTAGTCGTACGAAAGTAGAAAAGTTACTTCCTTTACGAAGAAAGGAGATCGACTACGCGATTAACCTCGAACTAAAAGACGAAAAAAAACCTTAAGTCTCGTAAAGTTCGCTATATAATATATCTCGAGACGAACTCTTAATACTACGATATACGCTTACTAAACTTCTCGATAAAGAATTTATTAAAGTAACTCGTTAACGATAGCTCTAGTTTTCTTCTTACGAAAGCTAGAAGGAGGATTACGATTCTATATTAATTATTAAGAGCTAAATAAGTTAATAAAGAAGAATCGATACTTACTATTCCTAATCTACGAGACTCTACGAAATATCGAATAAGTAAAGTAGTATACGAAGCTCGATATTATTATAACCTTTTATAAAATTCGAATTATAGAAGGAGACGAGTAAATAATAGTATTTTATATAAGATATAGTCTTTTCGAATAGCTAGTTACTTCTTTTAGACTTATTAATATACTTAGTACGTTCTAGAAATATATTAATTAGGCCTTACGAAATTATCTTAACGTTTTCTACTTAGTATACGTAGACGATATCTTAATCTACTCTTTAAAGATATAACGAGAATATTAAAACTATATACGAAAAGTTCTAAGTCGACTTCGCGAAGTAGAACTTTAGGTCGATATTAATAAATACGAGTTCGAAGTTAAGTCGATAAAGTACTTAAGATTTATAATCGACGCGGAATAAGGCGTACGAATAAACCTAGTAAAGATTATTATAATCTAAGAATAGTAAGTATCTAAATCTATTAAGGGCGTCTAGAGTTTTATCGATTTCGTAAACTTCTATCGAAAGTTTATTAAGGATTTCTCGAAGATAATTCTATTAATTATAAAACTCGTACGAAAGAATTCGACTTTCTATTAGAATTTAGAAGTCGATATAGCGTTCGTACGACTAAAGAAGATATTTATAATAGCTTCGATCCTCGCTCTATTTAATTATATAAAAGAAATATTTCTAGAAGTTAATACTTCTAAATAGTATATAGGCGGTACTTTATTCTAGGTAAGAAAAGACGATTTCGTACGATTCTATATATTCTTTTTAAAAAAGAACTTATTCGCGGAATATAACTATAAAATATACGATAAAGAAATATTAGCTATTATATATTACCTTAAAGAATAGAACGCTAAGTTAAGGAGCGTAAATAAGTTCGAAATATAATTAAATTATAAGAATCTAGAATACTTTATAATTATACGAAAGCTTACGAAGAAGTAAATATAATAGTCTTTAATTTTCTTACGATATAACTTTATAATCTTCTACCTTAAGAGAAAGGATAATATATAGACCGACGCGTTATCGCGAAGAAAATAAAATATATCGAAAGGAAAAGAAGACGACCGACTATAGTATCGTATAATAAAACTACTAAAGTCGAAATTTTTCGACGCGAAAGAAGCGATTTAAGTAGCTTCTATATAAATAGAAAAACTTTCTACCGAAGACTAACTAATAAATAATATAGTTAATACTAACTAGTTTACGATAGTAGAGTCGGACGAAATATATAAGTAGATTAAGGATTTAATTACTCGAGGAGTATTAAAGTTTCTATCTTCTTTAGCGATAAAAGTATCTATTATTAAGTATATAATTAATAGCTAAGAAAACGTACGCTTTTATAGAAGACTATAGATTTCGAACTTAAAATCTTTATATACGTTCCTAATTTAGGAAATTTATAACTTAGTAATTAGCGAATACTTCGAGCGAAAGGTAACGAGCTTTTTAATAGTAAGATAATTCTTCTAGCCGAATATACTATAGAATATTCGATAATTTATACGAAACTACGATATCTACGAGCGAATAAAAGCCTAAAGGAAAAGGAAATAAGAATTTCTAAAACTTCTTTTCGTACCGAATTAAATATAGAGCGAGATATCTATCGACTTTATTATAGAGCTCCTAGAAAGTCGAAGCTATACGAATTTAGTAGTAATTACGAACTAACTAGAAAAAGGAGTTATCCTTAAATTAATATATATAATTAAGTCTTAAGATATAGTATTTCTATTTCTATATATATTCTATAGAACCTACGATTTATCGAGAACTATCGTATCGAATAGAGGAATCTAGTTTATAAGCGCTCTATAGAAACGAGTATATTAGCTACTAAGTATCGTATACCGATTATCTACTATATATTACCCTAAAACGAACGAATCTACGAAACGAATAAATTAAATAGTCGAGATATATATATATACGTTCGTAAACGAAGCTTAAAATAATTAAGTAGAGTTACTACTAATCGCTAAATTAGTAATTAATAATAGGAACGCTTAATTAACTAGTATAAGCCCTTTCTTTCTATCTTATAAATATAATATCGACTCTATATAACTATAAGATAAGCTTCGCGAAGATAAAGAAGGAAATAGTCTAATATAATAGGGCGAAGAAATCGTACGAAAACTCTAGAAGGCGAGAAAATAGGCTTAAACTTCTATAGTCGTTACTTAATAAAAGTAAGAAGAAATTATAAATCGTATAAAATAATAGTCGATAGAGTTTCGCGTAGATAATAAGATCTAGCTCGACTTAAGGAACGTACGTATAACGCGGAAGAATAAGAAGCTCGATTAAAAAAATACGAAGTATACTATAACTAAAGTTATCGAATTATATAGCTATTATCTTAATACGCTAAAAGGAATCTATAATATATTCTATTCGAATCTATTATATACGATATCTACGAATCTATTACCTTCGTAAGTTATCGACGATACTTAACCGAATTCTATCGTTATATAGAATAAAGAAAAATACTAGATTAAAAGGATTATTCGCTATAAATTTATACGAAGAGGCCGAGGGTCTTAAAGATAGTACTTAGTAAAATAGACGAGATATATAGAATTAACCTAGAAACTAGAATTATCGCTCTAGAATATCGTAGCTTTAGACGCGTACGAATCGATAATAGAATAGTCGACTCTCTAATTACTATACGAGAGTAAAGAGAAAGTATATACGAAGGAACTATAAGAGTAATAAAATATCTAATTATATTATATATATTTAGCTTATTTAGTTACTATACGATAAAGCTTAACTACTACGTTAAAGTATAAACTATAGTTAAGTATAGAGAATATTCCTTATCTACTAAAATTATACTAGTATTAATACTAGTACTATACGAAAATAAGAAAATAAAAGAAATATCGTACGTACCTACCGTTAAAGGGCGGACCTTTTTATAACTACCTCGCTAAAGCGAGAAGAAGGAGGAAGAGGAAGAAAAGCCTTACGAATAAGGAAGAGAGCGTCGTCGTTATCGAATAAATCTAACGATAATACTATAATACTATTATCGTCGTCTTTATTACGCTTTATATAATAAGAACTTCGATTCGGCTACTTATAGTTATCGTATATTCTACCGAAGTATTCTAGAATACGACGATACTCTAGAAATAGGTATATCGAGCGCTTATAACGATTATAAGGACCGAAAAGAATACTTCGACTCTAAATAAGTAAGGCGTTAATATACGATAGTCGATACGATCGAATCTATACTAGAGTAACTATTCCTCGTACGAAAGGTACGTTAGTTTCTAGTATAGCTAAGATCGTTCGTTAAGAAGTATTATAGTAGTACGATACTAGCGACTACTCGAAGGTAAGAAAAATAGGAATTTAAGTTAGCGCGAGCTACTTTAATTAACGCTAAGTCGTAGCGGCGTCCTATACTACTAATACTATATTATCTTAACTTTTTTATTCTTCTATTAATACGTATAACTAAACGGAAAGGTCTAGGGCTTAGAGTATAGAGGATAGATTTAAGAGGAAGAAATAGATTAATTCGCTTACTTATTTACTATATCGACTATTAGCGTACGAGAATTAGTAACGACTAATAATCGTATATAATAGGAGTAGAGATAAGTACTTATAAAACTTTCTCGATAATTAGTATAAGAAAAGAAAAAGTAGAATAAAAGTAAATAGAAATAAGAATTTTACTTTATACGCTACTCGGCGCCTAGCTAGTTCCTATTAGAAGTAGCGGCTTTTTAGTATCGTACGAGAAGAAGAGGAAAGTAATATTATAGATTAAATTCGTATAAAGCTTTAGAGTACGCTCTAGAGCGATTACTCGTAGTATACCTTTAGGCTATATAACTATATAGTCTAAGCTACGTAACTCCTTTCTATCGATTATCTCCTAGGAAACTATACTAACCTACTATAGAAGAGGATAGGAAGTATTTCCTTTATTCGTATAGTAGATAGATTTTCTCTTTTCTTTTCT